GAACATCACAGAACGTTATCATTTTTGTGTGAAGAAAGTATGCAAGACTAGTAAGACCCCAACAGTTATTGAAAATTATGTCGTCTTGAGAAAGATAACGTTATTATAGCCTGCTAACGTTAATTACACATAGCAGTATACTTAGCAGAGTTGCTAGCGGTTTAATTTGTGACAGAATGTCCATTTACAAAAGTAAATGGGGCACCAACCCAGAACCTTCTAACACTTTAAACAGGTATTTTTAAAGTGACATTACATTTATTAGCTTTGATACTATAAACCAGATATCTTCAACACACACAAAGATAGGAGGTTTTTAATACCAGCCATGAACACAGAAGTCAATCATTAATAAATAAAAATGACCAAGCTGAATTTTCCATCTCTCCATTTGTTTCCAAGACATCTTCTTATTTCAGAAGGTGGAAAACAATCGTTTTCCTCAGAGCTGTTTTAGAAGGCTGGTTTTGAGATAAGTTGCTCTAAACTTTCAAAGTTTTTAAACTGTATGGACTGTCTGCACTTGTCTCTCCTTACTTGTGCTTTCTTTGCACAGGGAGTTGATTTTTAGCCTTCAAATGAGCTTTTGTTTTCATTCTAAAATGATATTTACCTCCATCGTGTAATCTTGTTTGGTCTGTTTTACCTCTCGGAGTTGGGAGTCTCAGGTCTGTACACACTCCACTCACAGTTTTCTTCATGCAAGCCCTTTTATTTCCACACTCCAATAACAATTCACAGAAAACCACATTTAAACAGGTTAAAGAAGGATAAACTCTGTACACAAATGTTTGGGTACACCAAGAAAAACGACTCTTCCTTGATGGAAATGTATGTTGGTTGAAAAGCTAAAACACAGTGAAAATCTTCATGGGAACAGAGGATAACTGAGTTCTGCTTGTGATCACAGGTGACCAAAGTATGAAGACATTTGCAGTTAATGTGAGAGTCTAAACAAAGTGGCTGAGGTGGTACCTTTGGCTGATAAACTGGCTTCTGTCAGGTGGACGGCCGTGGCATCTCCACTGTTGGTGGAAACCTGCATGACTGACCTCTGACCATCAGAGGCAGCCGGACACAGAAGCCCCCGCTGTGTGGAGACCAGAAGCATTTACACCCAGCCATCTGCTTTGGGGTGGTCA